ATCGAAAAACTGCTTTGTTGCTGTTTTTGGTGTTTATTGCTAATAACTTGTCGTGGTGAAGTCTTTTGACAAACTTCACACCTCCTTTAAGTAGTTTACAGGGTGCTGAATAACTTTACTTAAGAGCTGGATATCAATTTACTTAATAAGTTTTCGAGAAAATGTTGTGTGAAAATTTTTTCTTCTTGTTTTTAATTTGGTAAAGTGATTTATGGGAAAAGTTTTTAAAAAGAATTAAATATTGTTTGTTTTGATTTATATATTACACTAATATTTAAAATAAAATAGTCCCATGGCACTATAGAGCTATAAAAGTATTTCCATTTCCTAATATGGTAATAAAACTCAATTATAGTATTTGTGTCTTAGTATTTTAGTATGTTTCAGTGTTTTAGCATTCTAGTGTTCTATGTTTTAGTATTCTAGTATTGTGTTCTAGTGTTTTAGTGTTCTAGTTTGCATTCTAGTGTTTTAGTGTTCTGGTGTTCTAATAGTAGATCTACATAGTGCATAATTTGTATTCTTGATATACATTTAAAATAATGACTATAAATGTATCAAAAAAGTAGGTTTAATATATTTTCTAATATAATAATAAACTATAGTGTTTTGGTGTTCTAGAGTTCTAATAATAGATTTACATAGTGCATAAGTTGCGTTCTTGAAATAATAACTATAAATGCATCAAAAATATAGCTTTAAATATATATCCTAATATGGTAATTTGTATGTTTTTGTGTTTTAGTGTTCTAGTGTTTTAGCATTCTAGCATTTGTGTTCTAGTATTTTAGTTTTAAAAGGCTACAAAATAAATACCAAACAATTTCTCATCTTCTTATTAATACAAATCTTTACCTGTTTGCTGTAATTTATGAGAATTTTACTATAATATGATATAGCATACTTTGTTCTAACTTCCTTTAATCAACTCAAGCGCCTAGTTTTATTTTTAATAAATGAAGTTCTTCAACTAAACTGATAGTATATATTTTGAAAGTATGAGTAATCCAATACTTAAAACTTGGATTATGTAGCAAGTTGAGATTTTTAATACATTCAAACACTCATTATAATGTTTTTTATCTATTAAGCAACATTTATTTTTTCTTTGATTAATAAAAGTTTGAAGTATTTATTCAAAAGTTTCACAACTTAGAAAATAAAACTTTGTGAATTCATGATTAAATAATACAGAAGAAATCTAATAAAATAATATAGAATAGCAATTTTCTTTATATCAATAAATTTTAGTTTAATAAAATAAATCATAACCCCTATAAGAAAAGTAATCGGGTTGGCACAGGAAAACAGTGTAAATACATGGGTTGGTGTGGCACAGGCCAGGGTTCAGATTTGCATATTTGTGTACCATGTTGACACAGGAATGATAGTCTGTGTTTGGTCCATATGCCCGTGTCATTTAGACGTGAATTCATATATATTGAACATGCTTTTTGTAGCAGTTTACTAAACCAATTGACATGGGAACGATGACCTGTATTTGGTCCATATACCTGTGTCATTTAGATATAAAATCATGTATATTGAACATGCCTTTTGTAGCAGTTTACTAAACCAATTGACATGATATATTGGCACAAAAATGAACCAAAAAACAACATAAATTCATGAACCTCTTTCACATATTTGACATAGGCTGTGGCATGTATACTCACGTAAGTTCTTAATACAATGTATAGAAGCCTTGTGACATGTATCTTTACACTCTAATAATCAATTAATATGTTAAACATTCATTATTTTTATTTTGCAACAATCATTTTATTAAAACCTTTGATATATTTTGCTATCCAATACATATATTAAAACAAAATATATCGATATCTATACATATTAGAATTTTTCAGCCTTATCTAGTCTAGTCTTACTGCTAATTTTAGCCTTTTGAATTTTTTGTAATCTATTATGAATAGTTGATTGTAATGGTAATACTGTATTTTCCTTTCGAACTCATTTTGGTAAGGGATTTTCTGATCTTTGGCTATGTTTTCTTGGATTTACATTAACTTTTTGTCATGTTTTGCTGCTTATTTTATCAGGAGTCTGTTTAATGCATCTGTTTTTTCTTAAATTGTCTATATAAAAAATATATTAATTAAGATATAATTTATCAATTTTAAACATTTAGTTAATACTTTTAGAATTCTGAGATATAGCATTTTCATCTGCTTCTTCACTATCGCTATTAGGAGTAGGTAAGCTACCATTTTTGGAAATTGGATCATTAATTTTTTGTTATGTTCTGTTGCTTATTCTATCTGTAGTCTGTTTAACTATATTTTGTTTTAAGATATATATAACAGTATAAATAAAATAAATTTAAATTAATTATAAAGTTAAAATTTAATTTATTAATTTAAAATTTAGTTTAATACTTCTAGAATTTTGAATTATATAACTTTCATTAGCTTAACTGTCACTATCAGGAGCAGAGCCAATATAGCTATCAAAGGTAGGATTATTATATTCATCAGAAATTACACCACCACTTGAAGTAGAAAGAGTATAATTGTTTAAACCAGAAGTAGTATAAGTGTTAGAATAATTCATATAGTTTTCATGATTATCTTGCGCCAAATTATCATCATCACCTAATTAAAATTAACTTAATATTAATAATATTTAATTAAATTAAATTGCTATATAATATAAAATATACTTTTACAAAATTTATTCGATTCTGTTTTAAATCTATAACTTGTATTTTCTTTATTAATATGAAATACTTCTTTGGCAATTTGTTGTAGTGATTCTAGTTCATTATTCTAATTAAAGTTTGCGTAATTCTTGATTTTACTTTATTTTTTTTTCTAAAATTATCAGCTAATATAATTGTTAAAAATTTTTTATATATATAATAAATAATATTTAATAAATTACACTATATAAAATATAAAAATTTATCTCTATCATTTAATTTTTGTTTTAAACATTTGCTAACAACCCATTTATTAGAACCAATTTGAAATCTATATTTATTATATACCTAATTATAATTAAGAAAATTTTAATTTTTTATAAATAAATTGCGAATATAAGTTAAATTTTACAAATATATAGAATATAAAATAAAAATTACTATAGTTTATAAGGTTATTTTAAAACCAAAAACTCTATTTTTTATTATAATAATATTTGACCTACATTATTGATCCAACTTTCTCTTGCTGTATATCCTAATTGCGACCATGTTACTGATTCTTTAATTTGGTTTTCTTCAAGATGTGGAGTAAAATTGGCTTTAATGTTTACAAAATAATCTTTTCGTAACCAAGAACAAAGTGCTGATAGTTTTAATTTTGATGACTGTGTTCTATTTCTTTTAGAAGGTTGTATAGTTGGAATTTTTATATCAACATTTTCTTTTTTTTTTTCTTCAAGTAGCTTATTAAGTAAATTTTTTTGTGCATCATAGCATAGTTTTAAAATTTCTATTTGTTGACTTGCTGATAATGTATCTAATGTTCCTTTACTTGGCAGTTCACAATCAGTAATTTTTTAAAACAAATATGTATAAGAAATAGAAGAAGCCATTGTTGCTAAAAATTCAAAACCAAAATAGTGTAAACAAAAATGCGCAAAAGCTATTTATGTAGATCACAAAAAAATTGTATTAGTACGATTATTTAATTTTAATTGGTTAATTTAAATTTTTTTGATATTGCGTATATTTAAATTTTTAATAAACTTTAAATATATAAGTTATTTAATTTTTAATTTAATACTTTAACGAAACAATAAAAATACCTACTATAGCAATGATTGACCAAAAAGAAATTTGTAAATGTAAAATTTGTTTGATGATTAATATACAAGGTCAGAGGATGGAAAGAAGAGTATAAGCCAAAAAAAGAGATTGATCCTATGATATATAGAAAGTAACAAATCCCCTTACACTAGATGAATAGACACGAGCTCTGAGCAAAACTAGAAATAATACAGCACCAGGAATCTCAAATATTGGTTATATTCTTTTTAAGAAACTATCAGCCAAAGTGATTGAGAAAATATTAGTGCTAATGAATGCAATTCTCGAACAAAGCAAGATTCCAGACAAGTGAAACTCGGTCAGATATACCTAATCCCAAAAAATAGCTCTTAGGAATATAATCTAAGCAATATAAGACCTATAGTATTACTTGAAACATGTAGAAAAGTTTTAATACAAATGCTTCAAATAAGGTACTGAGCGAAAATAGTGTACTGAAAGAGGCAAACTTTGCAGGTCTGTCTGGAGAAAGTATATCGACCTCTATCCATATAATGAACAATATAATAGAAGAAGCGGTAGAAAGAAAAAAAGAGCTCTGGGTTATATTTCAAGATATGAAAAAAGCATTCGACTCAGTCAGTATGGTCTCACTTAAAAAAGCTCTCTAAAGAATTAAACTCCTAGTAAAAATAATTAAGATAATAATAGAGTTATATGAGAATAGGCAGCTTAGCATTATAACAGAGTTTGGAAGTACAGATTTCATAAAAGCAGGTGATGGTATAGACCAAGGAGAGGTACTGTCTCCTTTGGTTTGAAGAATTTTTTATCACCTTTGCTCTGTAGAATACAAAAAGCTGAGCTAGGTTATGAATGCATAATACAGAAACACGTATAATCTCAAAGAACAATAAAACAAATATTAGAGTAGGAGTGTTAGCATATGCAGATGACACAATGTGGTTGACAAATAGTTAGGAAAGCATGCAAAATACAATCGACATTGTACAAGAGTTCTATAAGTTAAATGATATTGAAGTAAACCCGAACAAGACTGAACTCATAGTGTTAAAACCGGGTAAAAAGAAGCATGCAGAAGATTCTGCAATCTGGATGAGTAATCCAAGAATTAGAATTTTAGCAAAAGATCCTAAAGAAACTACAAGATTCTTAGAGATCTGGATCTCAACCAAGAATCAGAAAAAGTCTGATATATTCAAAGCACGAAGTATAGTAGGCAAGATCACAGGTCTACTAAAGCACAAACAGATGTCTTTGAGCCAGATCATATACATAAACAACGCAATTCTTATACCTACTTTAGAGTATAGATTAATGATTTCATGTCTAACTAAAGCACAGTGCGAGAGAATACATCAGCCAATGATTCGGCTAATAAAATGGAAAATGTTAATGCCTTTCACGTCAGCAAACATAATAACAAAACACTCAGAGATAACGGATCTCAAAAGTCTTTGGAATAGACACATGGAGCATCATATATCAGAGCTACTGGTTAGACTAAATACACCAGGTTT